TGTGAAGGCAACCTTATTCATGTCAGTTCCTAGGTACCCGATGTATACTTTGAAGTACTGTTTGCAGTCAACAAGGAAGTGATCAATGTCATCTGAAGCTCCCTTGAAAGAGTGGGATTTCCATAAGAGGTCTGGGTGGCACTCCAGGATGGCTGCATCATAGGGGAGTGCTCCCATTGGGTTAGGCCAGTCTGAGAAGGGGGGACATTGCCACTCATTGGGTGGCCTAGGGAAAGAGTGAAGAGAGTTATCATCCACTACTGGGCTCCCCCATGGCAGCTCACTCCTCTGTACAATGATCCCATTTCATATGGTAAATCCTAGGCATACTGCCTTGAGATCATCTCATTCTGGTTCCTTTCTAGTACTGCTTCCTTCCACCTTATCAGATGGGAGTTGGGCCTCTAGAAGTCAGCTTCCTCAGCCTGTCCATGGGTTTTGGTAAATGCCTGGTCCGGCTGCTGATTGAGGTCAGGATTATGAGAGCCAAGTTGCCATGGAGCAGATGGAGGGGTCAGAGTGTGAGAGTGCACTTCAGAGAGAGGGGGCCATGTACACAGCTTGTCTCAGGGTGATGGGTGGTGTCTTCGGCATTGGTCATACAGGGATCAGCATCTGATATGCCAGTGGCCTCTGGACCTGATCTTCCAGGTGTTGTTTGTTGTATTGCAGCATAGCATAGTCTGTTGCCATGTTCCTTAATATCTCTGTTCACTGGTCAGTGTTCAAATGCAAATATAATTGTCCTAATTATGATGCTACCCAAGTAGCATCATGCCATAAGAAGTTTATCCCTCACAGGTAGTACTTCTGGTACTCCTGCATCCTTGCTCTCCTTATCTCTTGCACCAGCTCTTTTTTGTTGGTAGTTTCTTCTAGCCCATACCTGAGTACTCCACCAGGGCAGGGCTGTTCACTGCTCTCAGTTTCCTCAGTGTCCTCATCGCCCTCTTCCTCCTCAAGGAGGGAAGCAGCAGGCCAGTCATAGAAACTCTTGGCTCCCTCTTGTCGAATTGTTGTTGCACTGCTCTGGCTGGATACTTGGTCCAGCAGTTGGAGAGTTTGGTGGATGGTGATAGATGAGAGCAGACTGGCTACCAATATCAGAATCATATTGGTTTCCTCCTGTCACTCTTGCTGCCTCCACTCACTCATGATAGAGGTGGACATTTCACTGGTAGTCATCATCAGTGACAAGCTGCCTGACCACCCTGCTTCCAAGGAATCCTCAGAGTGTGCAGGCAGGGATATGGGTGTTTCCTGAGGCCTGAAGCCCATAATGTCTGAGGACAGACTCATCACTGCTGAACTCAGTATTGGCACTGAGCATTCTTCAGGAAGGGGGATACTGGAGAGAAGGGGGTCACTGGCTCCTTCTGGTCTGGGTGCCATTAGCCCAATACTCTAGGGTGCTGCTGCGAGAGGAGCTGGGCTCTCTGAAGACAGGGGTTGAGAGGGAGGGGTCGGCTCGTACTGATGCAAGTATGCTGGTGACCTCAGATCATAATCTGTACCAGTTGGAGATGTCAGCCCTAGCCAATCTGTCCCTCTCTGTTTCCCACTGGCAATTCCTGTTCTGCTCATCATACTCAGTGGCCTCTCTTCTCTGCTCCTCTGCTGCATGCCAGTTCTCATGTTCACCACATACTGGCTGTGGCTCAGCTCACTGCCTATGCTCTTCCTGTTGGATGGCATCATCATAGTTGAAGGGAACAGTAAAGTTCCAGAGAGAGAAGTATCAATATATAGTCTCTTTCCATATTTGTCATCATTCTTCTTTATTTTGGAGGTTCCCCCCCAGCCTAATGTCAGACTGGCTGGGGGTGGAGGGGCAGTGAGGCTGGCTGTGAGGTGTTGTGGTGCAGGATCCTTGAGCCACCCAAGGGGTATCAAGAGAGTCCCTGGCATGGTTGGCAATCCCATAGGTGTGGGAGGTGGAAGAAGGGTTAGAGGAGGGAGACTGCTCAAAGAAGTCCTCAGGGAGGTCCTGATCCTCACCATGGAGGACTACATCCAGTACAAAGATTCTGTATCCTCCTGGGACATGAGAGTGCTGACTTCTGGGTCAAGGGGAGTGCTGTCCTCTCACTTCTTCTTGACTATTCTCTGGATGAGAGCCACTAGGCCCAGCTTCTGGGAGCTGGTAGGTCATTCTCCTGGATTCAGGGATGTCATGTAGAGGGAGATCAGAGGTTATGTTGCATAGAATACACTGAATATTTCTGAATTTGTGGTAGTGTCTGATGGCCCAGGTGGTAATAGAATGGTGTCCCCTGCACAGCTGGATGATCACCAAGAGGCCTATCAGTGTTTCAACGATGGAAGAAAGGAGTTCAAAGAACTCATGATCAAAGTCTGAGTTATTGTTGCTAGATGGGGGCATTCGGTTTCTCAGCACAATTGGGCTTAAGAAAGAGAATGAGGAAGCTTCAAGCTAATTGTTAGGTCCAAATGTCATGTAAGTAAATACACATGATAAACAGGTGTCCCTTTGCACTTTGAGGGATCAGCTGAGTTCACTTTGTATATCTTGGTCATTGTGACTCAAGGTCAGATGAAGACTCAAGATAGAATGGTAGTTATAAACTTTAGCTTGAAGCTGGGGTCTAACCAGCTGGAGCAGACTCCTTAAATACTGTATAGGTCCTGCTAATAATACTGTGTGCTTATTGTAGGTTTCTCTGTCTATTGTGCTCATTGTCCTTAAGCATTATTACCATACATAAAAGGATATTGTCTGTGGTTGTCATTGGTTTTGGGAGTGGGTAGGGTTTGACTTGTTGTGCTGACTAAGCTTCATCCCACACTCCTAAGCACCAAGCTAGATGCCTTGACTAAGCATGAATAGAGATCAAAGAAGAATAGAAAATGAGAAAATCATAACATTTCTAGCACTGCATTCTATCTCTCAAAATTTAGATCCTCAGTATCAATAAGATGGTAATAATAAGCATAATAATGGTGAATAATTCTGCTATAGTAGCAAGGTCTTAGTTGGAATGAGTTGTCATTAGTAGATGGGTGGTGTTCTGACAGATACAGTGGAGACAACATTAGTGACTGTCATAATGGAGGAAAGGCTCTGAGAGGATGTGCTCATGTCACAGTAAATCAAAGTGAGTAGTAGATACTGTTATTGAAGCACTCAATGTCTAATTTCTCATGTAACCTGCTCAAGCTGCTTTCCAGATGCACTCTGAGATGCTCATATCTACAATATCTATTGCTGCACATTTTAGCACCTATCAAGTGCTAAGAGTGATATATGAGACTATTAAAAAAAGAAAACTGGATAGAGATTAATCTTGTGAGCATTTATCAGAGAATATTTTCCACAAATGAAAGCTAAAAGTCAATCATACATATTCATCAGAGTCTAAATATTAATAAAGAAAAGAGTAAGTGATGTTGTGCATTAATAGCTAACACAGAAAAGGTGTGTGAGCTTACTTTTAGTATCAGATTGGTTCTTTCCTGTGGTCTCTAGTGGCAACAGATATCTGATGAGGCCACTGAGTGGCTGGTGTTTGATTATTTCATCAGGTGGTTTGATAATGTCTTTGTATGCAATCTCACCCTCATGAGAAGAAAGAGTACATACAGGAGATAATTTCTTGAAGATTATATCATGAGATATGATGATTTTGTTACCAGGTATGTCATCTAGTAGAACTTTGTATGAGCCATATTCTAATCCCACAAATTGATTTTTTTTGTCTCTGGTGATAGTTTGCTGTGGTCTTTGGCTGCAGAGATTTTTGCATAGTAGATAGATCCTCAGACTCAGAGATAGCCTACTGTTTGTTGTTTGTTAGTCCACTCTTCCTCTAGTCTGCTGCACTACAGCTTTGTGAGCAGAAAATTTTGGCTTTTTTAAAGAAAGAAATGTGACACACCTGATAATACTATATAAAAGACTAAATAAACTATCACAAAAATGCCATAAGAGACATGAAGTCATACAAGCCAGAAATATGCTTGAAGGTGAGGTAATAAGCAAGTATTGGTCTAATATAAAAGCCTCTCAAGCTAAGAGATATGATTCAAAGGCTTAAAAAACCAGAGCAAAGAATATACCAAGAAACTGAGATCCTATACACTTCTGACTCACAGAAAATGGCAAACATGAGAAAAGACTACCATGATCAGTTATAGAACATGCAACAGCCAACTGATATAGAGGAGAAGATGGTATCAAAACTGCAATAGAATGCATCAGAATCAAAGTCTCATCAGAGTTAAAAAGACATCTAAGAAAGCTACTATCAAGGGAAGATGTCTAGGAGACATTAGAGCTATCAGCAAATGACAAAGCATCAGGTCCAAATAGAATACTGTATGAAGTGTTTAAGGTAATCAACATATAGTATAAAGAGAGTGTAAAAAAAGACAAACCTGAGTTTGATGTGATCACAGTACTCTATCTAGTATTCAATGATATTGAAAAGTATAGTATATGCTCTGGGACTGATTTTTCTGAGAGTGGAATATGCTCACTATACAAGAAAAATGATAAATCTGAGATCACAAACTACAAATCCATTTCTCTATTCAACACCAACTATAAAATCATGACAAAAGCTCTTGCAATTAAGTTGGCACAACCTGCACCAACTCTGATTCACCCAAACTAAGCTGGCTTTATACCAGAGAGGAACATCTATGATCAAATTTGGCTCACCAAGTGCATTATTGAACTAGCTGAAGCTGAAAAGCAAAATAGAATGATTATATTTCTAAACCAAGAAAAAGCATATGATAGAACTGAACATGACTATCTCTGGAGAACCCTCTCTGCATACAAAATCACTGAACAATTTATATCCACAATATGATTCTTTTACAGTGATGCCTACACATCTGTCTATGTAAATGAGATGTCAAGCTCTACACTCTTCTGTGTCATCCAAGAGGTTTGCCAAGATGATCCACTATCATGTCTCTTGTTTGATCTGATGATAGAACCACTAGCAGAGATGCTACAGCAATCAGACCTATAAGGATTTAATATACCAGGCACAGAAGATCAGATAATTGTGACATTGTTTACAAACAACATAACTGTATTCATAGTGCAATATGATGATCTAGATAAGCTGACCAAAATTCTAGATTCTGGAGCAAAATTCAATATAGACAAAACAGAAATTCTACTAATAGATACCCCATCACACTGTGATGCTATATATCATCACTGAAATTTGGCAGGCTTGAATATGACTGACTTCCAAATACCAGACAGTATCAAGATAGTCAAAGATAGAGAGGCCATGTAAACTCTAGACATATGGGTAGATAACAGAATTAAGCAAGCTAATGTTTGGACATGCACTTTGGATAAGATTGAGGAAAGTCTAGAAAGATGGGAGCTTGGCCATCTCACAATGAAAGGATGACATCTAATAATTCTAATAATAGTAGGCAGAATGACATAGTATCTCACAAAGGTACAGGAAATGTCTCTGAATATAGAAAAACACCTAGAATAGTATACATGAAAATTCCTATAGAGAGATAAAAACAAAATTAATGTTAATAAAGAGACAGTTTATGCACCTATAGATGATGGCAGTCAGAGCCTCTTGGACATACCAATAAGAAATGAAGCTATTGCCATGATATGGCTGAGATCATACTTAAATTTTAGACTAGATCACTCTACATGAGCACTTGCAGCAGATGCCATAATGATGTACCACTCTCTAGCAATGGAAGACAATGTGGACAATGCCATGAAGACAAATGTCTTCTTAAAGTTCTGAAAAACCAGTAATGCTAAACTTCTGGAAAACTTGAAAGTACTGATGAAAATAGCAAAAAAATACAATGTCTACCTTGATGGACTAATGCTATTTGAGAAAATAGTATGTACAATGCCAATATGGTACCACATAAAATCCAATGCAACATAGAGAGAATTCAACATTGGAGAACAAGTCAAATGCCTAAAATCATATCACAAAGTCAGGACAGTGAAGAATGTTGAAAGAATGGCAGAGAACCTCATCAGACATAGACACTTCTGCTGAGAGAAATGTATATGTAGAATATGTGAATATACAAAGAGACTAATGGGCTGTAAATCCTCATGTAAATGCTTTCAAAAGCAAAGAGTTTACTGGATTCACTACCTCCAAAATAAGACCCAAGATCAAGCTTGGTTGGAATGATAGAGACTCTTCCTGAAGAGTATGATGAAAATACAAGTAGATTTGAGCCAAATCTACTGACAAGAGGACTGCTAACTAATGGGTTCAGGATATTTACAGATGTAGACACTGAATGCCTGGACATATACCACTCTAGTACTGAATCCCTCAGACAAGAAGACATAGTGGTTGCATATACAGATGGCTGAGCCATTAGATGCAGAACAGACAAAGCTACAGCAGAGGCTGGTGTCTTCTATAGCAAGAATGATGCAAGGAACTGGTGTGTATACCTTTTAAACAAAGTAGAAAGGACTAACCAAGCATCTGAAATGATAGGAGCAAAAACAGCTGCAGAAGACACTGTTAAGCCAGACAATGGATCTGGTAAGTGACTCACATCATGTTGTTGATGAGTTAAACAGCTATTTCATCAAAAGTGAGAATACTTCCTAATAAATAACAGTCTCATCACAGAGACCACCATGGCAAGGTTTAGAGCATATACCACACCAACAATGCTATGATATGTAAAGGCCACTCAGGTGACTCTGAAAATGAACATGCAGATATACTTGCAAGAATAGCAAATGAGAAAGAAAGCCCAGATATGGTAAACCTGACTATCTTCTCAGTGTTGAAGATGTGAGGAGCAAAACTGGTTGCATTGATACAGGCAATGGCATATAAAATAATCAGAAAGCTCTGTTAGATGTAGAATTAGTATGATATAAACATGTTCTTTTACTTATTTAATTTTCTTTCCTTTTTCAGTATAATGCACCATTCCACACATCTCAGCTTTTAACCACAATGCTGAGATTAATATTACAACATCCTATTCTAACACTTATTCTCTTTCAAACTCTTTCTCATTCACTATGTCCATGCAGCTTCCTCATTAACTCCAATAAGATCAGAATGCAAGATGAAGCATATCAAAGAAAGCTAGATAGAAAGAATACAAACAGGAATGTGATGTTATCTCTAGCAGTGCCTAGTGAATGCATTGAAGTCAAGATAACCAGTGAACAGCTGTGGACCTCTATCTGAAGGAAAGACCTTCAACAGGTCAGCATGTTTCTTCTTATAGATGCTACTACATGATGGCTATGTGGTGGGTTGACACTGGAAATATATCAGTGGTTGCAAAGATAGAATTGAATGCCAGAAATGTGGCACTGAAGAGAGCATGGATCACATACTCACTAAATGTGAGGCTCCAGACCAAGGAGAAATATGGGGGCTTATCCAGCAACTGTAGAAATAGAAGACTAAGACTGACCTGATAATCATAAAAGGCCTCATCATATCATATGGCATCCAGTCCCCCAACATGAATAGAAGCCATATCAAGAGGGGAATAGAAAGATTTCAATAGGTCCTAATAATAGAGTCTGCACATCTAATTTGAAAGATCAGCAATGACCAGGTCATAAATGAGAGAGCATTATATGACACATGAAATTGAACAATGGTGGCTACATGTGATAAACCACCACATGAAACTGGACTGTCTATTATCCAACCAAAGGAAATTTGTGAGGAAGGCTTTACAAAAAAACCCTCATCCTAGCAATATGGCAGGGCACACTCCTGAGAGAGAGCTCCCTACCAGAGGACTGGATGAAGGGCAGTGGAGTTTTAGTAGGTATTGTTAAATGAGCAATGATGGAAGGTACTGATGGTATCAACCAGAGCTTACCTGATGGAGTCCTACATGTGACTTGTTCAATCAGCATGGAAGTCAGCACATAAATGTATTTACCTCATGTGGTCAGAATCAAACAATGTCTTTGCCATGAGAAGATTACACCAAATTATATTCTAAACTTTAACAAGGTCCTGTCCCTCATTCCACCAACAAGCTGACTACAACATCCTCAGCATGCTATCCCACTAGTCAGGGGCCCCCATGGTGCAGGGTGTATGATGCCAAGCCAAACATTCCACAAAAGAAAAAAAGGAAAAAAAAGATTACCTCAAGCTCACTCAAACCCATACTTCTCTCATGGATACCATCTTCTCATGAGTCACATTCATGCTCTTATTCTCTTATGCCTCGTATCTCGACCACCAAACCCTTGCTCTATCAATTAGCTATGGTATCCAATGTCTACAACAAGAATGAAATCATAGGCCAGACAGTGATAGTGGTCATAAAGGAAATATCTGAGAGGCTCATCTGTATTTGGACTTGGAATCCTTCTGGCATCCTCAGCCATTCTAGTCCTCCCTTACTCAGATTCAGCTCAACACTGTGGACTGCCACAAATACTCATCTTGGTTGCAATGTAGAGGCTCCACAGAGAACAAATCATGCTTGAATCTTCGATGACACATCATTTCTAAGAAAGTGATGTGCATTTGTAGCACCTAATAGAGTATGCTGTTAGCTATAATGTAGACTACAGAATACCAATCAGTGACATAAACGAAGTAATATAAATAGATACTCACCCTCACACAGCATAGCAATAAGCAGAAACACAGTGAGGGTGCTCGACAGACCATATTCAATATATATAGTCCATCCCGACATAAAGGGGTATCGAGCTTGGCCGGCAGGATACGATGGAGCTCCTGCTTGCTAATCCAACATTGTTGTTGTCCAGAAACTAGTGTTTCAGCCCCAAATATCCGATCTAATGCCTTCCATGCAGATATCCAACATCCAGTTCTAGTTGCATTCTGTTACTACTGAAGAACCAACCAATAAGCGGCATGGTGCCTTGACCCTGTCAGATACTGATGGGATAATATCCAGCATTGATTTCCAGTGTAGCAATCATGGCGCAGAAGAAATTTACGAAATGACACAGGAATCTAGTCCACCAACCCATAAAGACAACAAGCTATCTCCGAAAGAGCTGATGCTGACATGTATGAGTGCCAGCATGTGCATTGGTGGTAACCATAGATGTTGAGAGCAGCACTTTTCAATATGAGCGGTTGCACCCAGCACAATATGGGAGGACAGGGCTTCTGGGCCAGTATGTTGCTGATTCTGTATGATAACTATGGCTTCATAGGTTGCATGCAAATCACAGTCATGGTTCAAGAGCTGCGTTGTGAATAACAAGCAGCAGCAATGGACACTTGAAGACTGGAGGTAATAGCTCAAGAAGAGAACAGTCTCCTAAGAAGAGGTCAGAATTGCCAGCAAGAGCCTCTTAAAAGACACAAAAATGATATATGTACATGTGATCCAGCCAAATTATAACCCTAACCATAATAAAGGTTAGGTTAGGTTTGCATTCAATGTCTGGAGAGGGATCATACCCTATATAAAGCACTCCCATCCTTCTCCTGGCCTCCACAACTCTCCCTCAAACCATCACCATCAACAAATCTCACCCTTCCACACCTCCTTCCTATGTCCGCACTCATTCAATGACAGCTTCTCATTTCATCTGTAAGCCTTTCTTCTTGCATTACCTCCATGAAGGAGTATTCACCACAAGATGAAGAACGATGCATGTCCAACGACGAGACATGGCAGCAATGACAATGCAGCAGAGTAGGGAGTCGCCAGAACTGTATTTGTTACCACCAACAGCATTCTACACCCTGTCGAGAGCGTCTCACGGTATTCCTGTCTATAGCAACTTGCAGCTGACCATGACAGTCCATGCTCACTGTCATTATGTATCCAGATCCGACGCATCATATCCATGATCTGTATGTGAATATATCATGCCACCCTCGCCATCCATCCTCAGTAAACCATGCCATTGTCACATCCCGCTGTCATCTCAAATAGAAAGTGATATCCTGATGGTGGTACATCCACTGTTGCATCCAAGCCAAGGGGAGATGATGATGGAACTCGATTTTGCTCACAGCCTGACGAGTGTATGCATTCTTGGTTATGAGGGCTGTGTGAATGAGGTGGCGACCAACCTGCCTCTGCTATCACTGGCTATCATCCATCCACTGCTTCTATGGCCTGTAGTCATTCAGAGGTCAGGCGATCGAGAATGGATCATGGTCGCCAATGTTGTCGAGACATTATGGCATGGCCTATGCACACCCATGCCACTGCAGACATCATCACTATTGTTGCTCCTCGAAAATATGTATGATGCGCCTTTTGACAGCCATCAAAGTATGGCAGGCTGCAAGAAGCGAGAAGTTGTATGGAGGCCCAGACTAGTTTATCTGAGGGGAAAGACATGGTTCATAGGACTCCACAATAGTCTTGGACTGGTCAAAGCTTGCCATCCTTCTTTTTGATGAAGAAGAATGGAGAAGCCATTGGAGATTTTGATGGCTGAATTCACCCACTGGACAAGTTTTCTTCTAGGAACTTGTCAAATTCCTGTTGTTCATTATTACTGAGAGGGTAGGTTTTGCAATCCAAGTTGGTGTTTGCATTTGGAATCAGCTTGATTGCATGATTCCATGGTTTTGGCTCTGGTAATTTGTCAAAACTTTCCTTCTCAAATAGATCTCTAAAGTCTTGGGCCCACTCAGATACCATCTCCTCAAAGGTTCTTTTCCCCTTTCCTTCATTCACCTTGGCTGCCAGATTATTGGCATGATGTATGGCATGGATGTGGATTTCATGCTGAAGGTTGATGGCAAGTATAGTTTCTCCATCCTCCATTTCCTCATCCTATTGATCCTCCAGATCCTTGTCTGGTAGCTCAAATAGAATTTTCCAGCATCAGCACCTGGCAAACATAATTCTCCCAGTTTTCCAATTGATTAGCAGATTATGGCATATTAGCCAGTTGTGACCAAGGAAGACTTCCTTAGTCCTGAGATCCATGACTGCCAAGTCAATTCATTCAGAATGGTCTCCAATCGTGAGTCAGAGCTCCACAAACTCAGTGATTGAGCTGGCCTGGTTTTTGGTTCTGTCAGCATTATATACTGGGATTGAGGCCACTGTGTCTCTTGTTGAGAGTCGATGCTTGTCAATGAAAGCATGATTAATTGAGCTTCCAATGCAACTACTATCAATTAAGGTGGTTACTGCATGAATCAATCAAGATGTCAGGGTCTCAATTTGGGTCTTAGTGAGTAAATCTCACCTGGGTATTTTGGACCATCAGATGAATTTCCATGGTCCATGGAGTTCATTGAGCCACTCTAGGGATTGACATCATTCAGCCTTCCTCATTCCTTCTATCATTTCATTGATTACTTCTTCAGCTTGGGTTTGGTGGACCCAATTTTTGAGCATGGCTTTCACTGTTGCTTTGTCTTTAGCATTTTTGATAGCCCTCCAGGTCCACTCAATGTCAAATGGTTTGAGCCAGATATTGGGGCCCTCTGCCCCTGTTCAGCCCAGAGGCATTTGAGCTTTCTCCTTTTGCAATTCCTTGGTGTGCGAGAGGGATAACTGTGGTATATTTGAATGCATAGGTAAAACAGGCATGAGAGTATCTACAGAGATTTTATTAGTCCAACTAGTGGCTATTGGTTGCACACCATGAAAGTTCTTGGCTCACCTGGTGGAATTGCTCACTGGTTGGCCCTGTCTTTTACTTCCTCTACTTTGGTCTCTTTGCCAAGTTCTTCATCTTCCTTCTGTAACTTGGTGACCTGAGTCTGAATGTCTTTCCTTGTTCACTTCTTCTTTGGGCAATCCTTTGCTATATGCCCTTTTTGTCTGCAGTTAAAGCATTTTCCTTCCTTCTTTAACTGGTCTATGTCTATGGGTCTCTCTGCCTCTGTGTAGGTCATGCCTGTCCTAGTTTTTTGAGTTTCATAGCTAGCTGTTGGGGAGTTCAATGATTTCCTGGCAGTTGTCCCCATTGCTTTAGAACCAGATGGGGTTGGCAGAGTCAACTTCTTGGGGTACTCTTACAGGGTCGACTGTTCCACTTTCTGCCTTTGTCATTTCTGATACATCTTGATGATACATTCCTTCCATTTGTCATATCCTACTGGCATAAGTGCCTTGATGCTGATAGCCAAAATTATCATGATGTATGATAGGGGAACTCCTCTTTTGAGGGCTTTGACCATTCATCCTTCATTTGTTGCTGTGTCATCCTATATACTGGCTAGCTTAGCAAGCCATTTTAGCTTGTCAAAGTAGTTGGTTGCTGTCTTATCTCCCATTCTGTACTCCTTGATTTTCTGCTTATGCACCTCCTGCATGGCCAGGTCAATGAACCTGTCATGTAATATTTGTTTGAATATGAGCCAGGAGGAGTAATGATAGTGCTGTCTCATGGAGAAAAAGAAGGTTGGAGAGAGGAGTGTCCACAATGTTTTGGCCTTGTCCTCTAGATAGGAGGAGGCAAAGAGTACTTTGTTCATATCAGTCCTGAGGTATACAATGTAAACCTTGAAATACTGTTTGCAGTTGATGAGGAACTGGTCAATATCATCAGAGGCACTCTTGAAGGGGTAGGGTTTTCATAATAGGTCAGGTCAGCAATTCATTATAGCAGCATTCTCTGATAATGGCCCCATTGGATTGGGCCATTTGTCAAATGGTGGCCAATTCCATGTGGTGGGTGGCCCTGGGAAGGAGTGAAGGGAATGGTCATCAGCAACTGGGCTTCCTTTTAGGGTAATGTCTTTTCAGACAATTACCCCATCCCATATGGTAAATCCAAGGCAGATGGCCTCAGGATCATCTCATATTGGTTCCTTTTCTGTTCTGCTTATCCCTGTGTCATCAAGAGGTGGTTGCCTGCCAAGGAGTTGACTTCCACTTCTGGTCCAAGGGTTTTGGAGTTTTTCATGCTGTGGTGCCAAAGGATTTGGCTGATATCAGGTCCTGGTGAGCCAAGTTGCTGTGCTTCAGATCAATGGATCCAATGTCTTAGCTTTGCTATAGACAGATGATGCCATATAGATGGCTCATTTTGGCAGGATAGATGGGGAACCTGGCATTGGCTGTGGCTGGTTCTTGGGTTGATAAGGGGGTATCAGCTTGAGGGGATCCTCTGGGTGCCATCAGCCATATTCCTCTCAGGCATACTTTGTTGCAGCATACTGTAAAATATCTTGTTTTTCAGTATCATCTGCATATTTATACTTTAGTCCTAAGGGTGTAGCCCACCAATGAGTGTCTCTCCACAAAAAGAGTATTTCTTGCTCATACAGTCCTTGGTACTCCTCTCCTCTTGCCCATTCTATTTCTTCTTTCAATGCTTCTTCATCAGTTTCTTCAGCAGCATGCTTCATGAATTGTTTGAGTCTGAAGGAGCCCTCACTGTCCTTCTCATTGCCCTCATCCCCACTGTCCTCTCTCTTGAGGAGGGAACTGAAGGGTGGGTCATAAATGGTCAGCTCGATTAGTCTGAGGGTCACCAGAGAGCTCGTTGTTGATTCTGGTGCTGGGCATGGCAGTATCTGGATTGGGTCTAGGGGCCACATGCTGAATAGAGGAATTTTAGAGCTGGCTGTATTGTGTACCACCATGTGCTCTTTCCTCCTCCAGCTCTCAGCTATAGAGACCAAAGTTTCATTGGAACTCAGGATCAAGGAACTGGTGGGTGACTTTACTTCCCAAGAATCAGCAGAGGGCTCAGTCGGAGACTTGGGCATTGTCAGATATCTGGAGCCCATAGGCTCCAAGGACAGAGTTGGTGTTGGAGGAAATAGTATTGGTTCTAGTGGGGTACTGGAGAGAAGGGGGACAATTGTCAACCCCAGCAGCCTGGTCTCTTTGGACTGCTTCATCTCTGTCAATGGCACTGGCCAACCCTGCCCATGGGTCAGTTTCTGAGTCAGGCTCCCTGAAGAGAGATCCTGAGGAGTCAGTATAAAGACTGTATCAGCCAAGAGAGGCTGATCCTAGTCTGGCAGCCTTCTCCTGTTGTCATCATCATCATTCTTATTGGTCATACTCTGCTTCTTCAAATTCTCACTGGGCTTCTGCTTGGATATACTCAGCAAGCTCTTCCTGAGCTTGCTGGACTTCTGTTCATCAATTCTGGTTCTGCTGCTGCTGCTATACTGCTTTGTTGTAATTAAAGGGGACCTGGAGATTCCAGTCTGGGAAGACTCATCATATGATTCTATCCTGGGCAATCCTTCCTCTTGCACTAGCTGTTTCTGCCTCTGGCTGACTTTCAACATTAAGGTAGTTATGGGGATCCTCTGCTGCAGTGATGGCAAGCTCCACATTCATGAAATCCTGGTGGATGCTCTTTCTGTGGAGGTTGTTGAGCCTCATTCTACCAATAGATGGGCTTGACTCAGGGGTAATGCAGAGGGAATGGTGGGGGGTGTTAGGGGTTGTCTGAGATCTCAAAGCCATCTGAGTGGCATCAAGAGAGTCCCAAGCATGGTTTCCAATCTCTGGAACATTAGAGGAGGTGGAATGGCTGGAGACAGAGGCATCTGGAGAGATGTTACTGGTGACCTCCTTGAGCTCTTGAGTGATGTTCATCGTCTAAGGGTTTTGGAACCCTGCAAGGACAGGGTTGTGATCTCTGCTGAGTCATCATAAGAGGTATCAAGGTTCTTTTTCTTCCTGAAGGCTCTTTGGAGATGGGTTGCTATGCCTGGTTTCTGATATGAGTCACCCTTGCAGCTGGAAGGATGTTCTGATGGAGGCAGAGATATCATGGAATGGTAGGTCTGGGGTTATGTTCCAGAGAATGGTGTGGATCTGTTGGAATGCCTGATAGTGCCTGACTATCCAAGCAGTTACTGATTGTCATCCATGGCAAAGAGTGATGATGGCTAGAAGTCCTAGTAGTGTTCCAATGATGGA